CTAAGTGAAATGAGTCAGAAAGAGAGGGACAGACATAGAAAAATTGCATTCATCTGGGGAATATAAAGTAACAAAATAGGAGACTAACACCCAAGAATAGCCGAGATAAGTACCAGGAGGTTCATTTCATGGCTCGGAGGCCAGCCACACATGCTAGGGGAAAAGGCAGCTCAGATAGAGAAGGGAGCACCAAGTAAAAGGTGTTGGGAGGATCCTCCCAGGATGGGAGATGAATGCTGAAAGTACACTATAGGCTGAACATGATTCCCACTCAATGCCTCTTTTGCAAACCACAGCACCCCAAAGGAGAGAGAGAACAAAAGGGAATGCCGTGCCACAAAGGTGGGGTAGGATGGGGGGGATAAGGAAATGGGAGGGATACTGGGATCACTGGTGGTGGAGAATGGGCACTGGTGGAGGGATGGGTGTTCGATCATTGTATAACTGAATCCCAAGCACAAAAATTGGTAAGTCTATAACTGTACCTCATGGTGTTTCACTAATAAAAATTTTAAAAACTTATAATGGCAAAAAAAAATTAAAATGACATGCAATGATAAAAATATAGAGCTTTGTGCTTACATAGATAATTTTGCCTGCTCAAAAGAATCTTCTTAGTTGTAGCAGAGGGTCTCACTGTACAAAACACAAAGCAATTATCACTAATACTTGAACAGCAGCTAGACACAGACCCAATTAAAACTGATTAGAAATTCTCCCTTGAGTCTTCAGAGTTGGACTCAAGAGAATTACTCAGAAACAACATCAAGAAATCATCACAAAGGTTTGTCTTTTTTGTATATATTTATCACAGGATGGCCCATTGACTCTATGCATCTCATATCAAGAGATGGAAAGAGAATTCTTTCAGGGTTATCAACTGTTTTTCAGATCTCATTTCCACTTTGGATTCAGATTTGGAAGCATTCCTGCCTTTAGAGTAGGAAACCAATGTTTAAATTGTGTTAACTTTGAGATGCCAAGTTGACTTTCAAGTGCCAGAGAGGTTATTTCAGCTATATATCTGGAACCCGTGAAGTTTGTTTAGACTGGTGATGGAATTTAAGGGTTGGCTTTAAATGATATATAAAGCTGTAGGCCTACTTGCACGCACCTATCAAGAATTTAACTAGAAAAGAAGATCAATGATAGAGTTCTAGGACAACATTTCCCTATGGGAGGGTCAGTACGTCCCTCAGGATATTCCAAGGGAACTGTAGGAGAAAATCACATAAATGGGCTATGACGAAATAATTAGTGGGGGATAAGGGAAATAGGAGGAAAACAAAGTCAAAAGGTGATCACAAAAATGCTTAAGAAACATTGCTTTAGGATACTATACAACTAATTTTGTAGGTACAGGAAGGAAAGCTGGACTGTTCTTCCATTATATCATAGTTATTTCAGGGCTGGAGCAATAGCACAGCGGGTAGGGCATTTGCCTTGCACACAGCCGACTCAGGTTCAATTCCCAGCATCCCATATGATCCCCCAAGCACCGCCAGGAGTAATTCCTGAGTGCAGAGCTGAAAGTAACCCCTGAGCATCACTGGGTGTGACCCAAAAAGGAAAAAAAAAAGATCACAGTTATTCCTTTTTTATTATTATTATTTTTTTTAGTGAGACACCATGATGTACAATTGTAGACTTACAAATTTTGTGCTTGGGTTACAATTATAGAATTATCAAATACCCATCCCTCCAGTGCCCATTTCCCACCACCACAGATCCCAGTATCCCTCCCACCCCCATCCCCCCCCATCCCACCCTGCCTCTGTGGCAGGGCATTCCCCTCTGTTCTCTCTCTCCTTTTGGGTGTTGTGGTCTGAAAAAGAGGCATTGAGTGCCAATCATGTTTGGTCCATAGTCTACTTTCAGCATGCTTCTCCCATCCTGGGAGGATCCTCCCAACATCCCTTATTTGGTGCTACCTTCTCTATCTGAGCTCCCTTTTCCCCTAGTATGTGTGACTGGCCTCCAAGCCATGGAGCAAAATTCCTGGTACTAATCTCAGCCACTCTTGAGTGTTATGTTCCCCAGGGTCATAGTTATTTCTTACTCTTTAGGGTTCAGCTCACATACCTCCTCAACCACCCAACTTAATTCAGTCACTCTATTTCACACTGAATTTGATTACTTCATATCTTATACGTTACTTATTCATTATTTGCTTGTACTTTAAGCAGCAGTCCTTCTGTATTAGCCCTATCACTCAAAATATCTAGTACATGGTAGGTACTCAATATCTATACTGTAGCACTGTCCTTCCATTGTTCATCGATTTACTCGAGCGGGCACCAGTAATGTCTCCATTATAAGAATAGTTGTTACTGTTTTTGGTATATAGACTACATCATGGGTAGCTTACTAGGTTTTGCCCATGCAGGCGGGATACTCTCGATAGCTTGCCAGGCTCTCCAAGAGGGATGGAGGAATCAAACCCGGGTCAGAAATATCTATATTCAATCTGTAAATTTATATTTAAAGGTTGTATAAATTAATAAATGAAAGAATATGCAAATAAATTCTAATAAACTATATAATTAAAACATTTAAAAATTAAATTTAAAAAACATAAATGAACTGCTTTGATATAAGCCCATGTTTCAAAAAATATCTTTGTGCAGTATCTGTAGGAGCAGTGAGTTATACATATTTCAGAAACAAATTATTGTAAATCAAGGTTATCAAAAAACCTACAATTATTTTTCTATAAACATCATGGAGTCTGAGCCACCATAATTATGACATGAGGACCAGCAGCAGCAGCAGTTTAAAGTTGGCTTAAAATGCAATTTCAGACCCCACCCAAAGCTACTAAATCCGAATGTCTCCTTTAACAAACTAGCCAGGTAATTCTTTTTTTTTTTTCTTTTTGGGTCATACCCGGTGATGCTCAGGGGTTATTCCTGACTCATGCACTCAGGAATCACTCCTGGCGGTGCCCGGGGGACCATATGGGATGCTGGGAATCGAACCTGTGTTGGCCATGTTGGCGGCGTGCAAGGCAAACGCCCTACCCGCTGTGCTATTGCTCCAGCCCCGGTAATTCTTATACACTTTAAAATTTGGAGAAATACCAATTAAAGGTAATACCAGATAATATTTCAAAATACTCATGGCACTTCAGATAAACAAACACATGCACAAGAAAGTTAACCTGTCTTCTTTTAAAGGTCTGCATTGAGAACAATTTGCAGGACAATCTCTGCCTCCATTGAATCAGAAAACAACTCTGGAAAAAGAAGCTATACACATAAAATTTCCATTCTACAAATTAATCTTACCCAAAATATATGTCAGGTGCATCCTATGGGTTTCATAGGGCACTTATCTCTCTCCCCTAGTTGAAGGGAATCTTTTAAAGATGCTTATAGATAATTGCTGTGTATCACACTCTGTTCTAGACCTAGGAAATACAATGACTAAAGAAGAAAAAGATAAATAATTTCTAGGATCTCAATATCTGTGCTGGAGACAAACACCCAAGTATAGATGATGTTTCTATATTTTTTTCTTTCATAGAAGAAGGACCTCCTTCCTTATACCTGGGAGCATGAAAGAAACCATTCAAAAGTAAACCTTGCATGGGTTAGATATACACAGGAAAGGATAGAGGAGTGTAGTGGGGAGAAAAGAAGTATAACCCAGCAAACAGAATACTGTGGAAAAGAACGAAATCTTTACTGAATTGACTGTGAGCATTCTGGAAGCAGCAGTTATTGAGAAAAGACAACTGGAAAACTATTAGGAAATTGCTGTGAGTAGTCCAGGTGTAGAAGAGAAAGCATTTGAACCATGGCAGAAGTAGTGAGAATATTTATCCAAGCATAATGTAATATAAAGGGTAATTGAATAGCTAAAGATCTGGAAAGATAGATTTTTTAAAAAGATTAAAAACCTTTGGCTAATTTTTTCTGGCACAGGCTTATTTAATGAAACCAGAGACCTTAAATCATTTGAGCAATGCCCCACAAATGCCTAAGCAAAGGACGGAAAGAAACGCTGTCTTAGTGAGCCACACTCATTGGAATTTTGCAAACACTGAGTTTTGCATGGTAATGAGGGACACCTTGAACATATCATGTAATGACATTGTAATGTAATCGCTCATTTATTTTGTGTATTTGTCTTTCCAGACTTTATGTTCATATGTTAATACTAACCCCATGGGGTTGCTGTGAGGATTTAAAATGAGCTAATTCATTCAAGGATCTTAGTGCCAGTGAGTGGCTTTTCATAATTAACAGTTAGTGAACTCATTATGCTAATATTTAAGAAAAAAACCGAAGGGGGGGGGGGGACGGGATACTGGAGATGTACCAGTCTACTTCTAACAACTCACTGGATGGTGCTGCCTGTCCCTGAGCTGTTGACTCCAAAAGGATGAAGGCTTCCTCTCACTGTGTGGGAGATTCACTATTTCAGTGTACTAGTCAGCGTCTACCTTTAGCTAGAAAACTACATCCTATCCCTTAACGCATTTGGGGGAGTGAAATACACTGATCACTAAGGTTTCCAAGTGTTGAGGATCCAAGAGTTGACAAGAGGCATTTGTCTTGGTGGAGCTGGGGGTGGGGGGGGTTGAATAGTTCTAAATTCATCTCTAGGATAAACATCTGCAAAATCTGCGTTATTTTGCTGAAGCGTGAAGTAGCAGGGGCTAGCCTGCAAACACGGGAGAACTGACGTTTTTCTCCAAGTTGGGAAAGGGGAACAGAAACTCAGCTAGGAATGAGGGAGGAAAAACAAACCAGAGAGAGAGAGACTGGAGAAACAAACAGGAAGTAGGGAGCAGATGAAAACAGATGACAGAAGTCTCAGGGGGATGAGTTGCGAGGGAGAGGAAGGAGGAAGCCCCAACACAGAAACACACCGTCCAGGAGGGCTCAGCCTGGACCACGGACCAGAGTCAAACACATCCCAGCCCCGGGGACTTCCGCAGTCCATCCGGTCCCGCAGCCCGGGCGGCGCGCGGCGCGGCGTATTGACGTCAGGGGGCGGGACTTCCGGCGCGGCGCCGCCTTGCCTGGACTGTAACTGGAGAGCCGGCTGCTCTCTAAGCCGACAGGTGAGGAGCTCGGGGGACTTGGCTGTGCCAGGACTGGCGGGTTCCCCTGACCTCTCTTTGGCTTCTCGCAGAGCTCGTTGCAGCCCTGGGCCATGCATCTATGTGCGTCCGCAGTGCTGCGACCCCCCCCTTCCTTCGGGGCTTTAGAGCACTTTGTTCCGGAGTCCCCTGGCTGCGTTCCATTCGCCTCTTGCTAACCGCGGCCACTCTGCTGGACCCGGGCGGGCCCCTGGGGAGTGAGTGGAACCCGGACGTCCGACACTTTGGACGGGAGGACCAGCGTCCGGTCATGGGGCTCCCGAGGTCTCAGTCCTTGCACCAACTAAGCCCCTAAGTAGCGCTGGGCAGGTGAGCCGCCACCCTGCCGCCACCCAGCCTTGCATTCTTGCATCTCAGCCCGGGTCCTTAGGGTTCTTTTATTTCTTGGGACTCCAGCTCCGAGGCAGGACCAACCTCTTCCAAGGTTGTTAAATCAGACACCCATGAGAACGGACTCTTCGGGCAGCGTCCGAAATGGACCTTGTTTTCGAGGTCCAGTCGAATTTGCTTTAATATTTAATAACCCCTACAACTTCCCGGTGGAAGTGGAGGCTTTAACTGAAGCCTGAAATTCCAAAGTGCAGTATTTGGGGAGAAGTCATCCAACTGTTTGTTTCTATGCCATTTACCATACATCTTGATGTTTTGTAGACATTTTATGTGCCACTGTTTTCCTCACCCATAAAATGGGGCATATTAATATTAATCTTTTAGATTTTTTTTTAAAAATTACACTTGACAGCCAAAATATGTCTATATCAAAAATAAAAGATGCGGTAAACATTTAAAAAGTAATGATTCTACACGAATAGAATAAAGGAGGAAAACATTCCAAATTTTACAAAACATATATTAGAAAATTTAACCTTTACAAAAGCCTTTTAGGCTTGCTCTCCATGCCCGTGTTTTCCCTTGAACACATACCTTGTTACTTGTGTCTCTGTATCTTTGCTTGCTTTTGCAGTCTGGACAACCGTTTCTCTTGAACAGTACTTCCTTCTTTCCCTTCACATCTTTCTAAGTAAGTTACATTCAATAAAAATTATCTTGCATCACACACACTGTTTTTAAAAAGAAGTGTTGGGGGTGAGTAGAGTGATTACAACCAGGTTGGATCCCCAGCTCCCCAACCAATGATTCTACACGAATAGAATAAAGGAGGAAAACATTCCAAATTTTACAAAACATATATTAGAAAATTTAACCTTTAAAAAAGCTTTTTAGGCTTGCTCTCCATGCCCGTGTTTTCCCTTGAACACATACCTTGTTACTTGTGTCTCTGTATCTTTGCTTGCTTTTGCAGTCTGGACAACCGTTTCTCTTGAACAGTACTTCCTTCTTTCCCTTCACATCTTTCTAAGTAAGTTACATTCAGTAAAAATTATCTTGCATCACACACACTGTTTTTAAAAAGAAGTGTTGGGGGTGAGTAGAGTGATTACAACCAGGTTGGATTCCCAGCTCCCCAACCAATGCAGCGGGGTATACCTAGCTCTGTGGAGGTCTCTGAGCCCCTCAGAGATAGTCCAGGTATTCCACACTTAAGGGCCCAAGCAGCACCTCATCTTCAGGCCCTAACTAACCTGGTTGTCCACGTCTTACAAGGAGGGGTTTCTAGGACCCATCCTGAGCACTACTTGGGATGTGTCCCCCACTCCTCAAAAAAAGGAAACAAATTAAATATGGGATTGTTCATTGATGTATGGATATATAAGAAAGAAAAAAACCCACAGCAAACATTTTACTAAGGGTAATGAAATACTGAAATCCGTTTGAGTTTGAGATAAATACAAAGAGGTGTGTTACCACTGTTTCTAGTCTACGATATACATGATATCAGTGCAAAGAGGTCTATTACCAGTATTTCTATTCTGCATTGCACATAAGGTCCTAGCCAATATAGTAGGATGCACGCACACACACACACACACACACACACACACACACACACACACACACAGAGTAATGTATATGGACTGGATAGGAAGAAAGAAAACTCATTCACAAGAAAAAATATTTATGACATTAAAATTTTATAATTTCTTCTTTGCTTATTCTACTAGGTACTCTAAGAATTGTGTTAGATGCTTTATCCACTCCGGACAAGCCCCTGTTTTTTCTTGAACAATTATGTCCCTCTCTTTCGCTCCTCTCACATCTCTAAAATTCTTTCATAAAAACTTTTTCAGGTGGAGTTCATGCCCAATTCAATCAGCTAATCAGTGGCTGAATAAATAGCAGTACTCCTACCAAAAAAAAAACTTTTTCAGCACTTAAAAAAATTGGTGTTCCCCATAAAATAAATGGTGTTCCATGTTTAACTTTTAACCTGCTTTTTTAGTTTTTAACATATCTTTGGAATTTAAAATAGTTACACACTCATTTAGAATTGTTACAGTTTCTGAACAATCACACACACACACTCACATTGGTCATTCTGAAAAATGTCCCTTTTGTTATACATCTTTCTTTAAAGTTTATCTTTAAAATCTGAATTCCTTTTACCATCTTTTTCTTGATCAATATTTGCACGGTGTGTTTTTCATTTTTTCACCTTCATTCCTTGTGTATCCTTATCTTTTTTTTTTCCTTCTCTTTTGTGCTTTCTTCCCTGTATTGATGTTCCTGTTGCAATGCCTTTAGTCACACAAATGCTGGGGTGTTGTGTTCGAACATTTAGCCTGTGCCTTCACCGGGGCTTACACCCTTTAGCTGCGATGCTCACACACCCCTGGCTGTGGCATGGCAGGAAAGCGCTTGCCGCAGTGGGCATCAGCAATAGCAGAGCAGCCAAGAACGAACAGAGCTCCCCGGATATTGCTCTGTGCATGAAGACTGCACAGGAGATGAAATGCAGGACCTCACACTTGAAAGGCAGGTGCCTTAGCCATGGGACCATCTCTTACCCTCCCACCCCCCCACCCCGGCATCCTTATAATGTGTATCTTTTGTGGAAAGCATCTGGTTACTTGTTTAATCTTTATCCAGTATGACCTTCTTTACTTTTAGGTAATTAGCATAGTCTCTCTTTAACTTAATACTGTTGGCCTTGGATTTAAATATATTTTACTTGTTATTCCTATTCTCTAGAACAGGTACTTCTCTGTTTTCATCTCATTTTTATGTTAGGTTTTCTATTTATGTTAGGTTTTTCTATCTCTATGTTAGATTTTCTATTTTATTTGTTATCACACAGTCTTATACCGTTCTTTTCACCGTTGCTGTTTTATTAATTTTTCCAATTAATTTTTCCAATTTTTCCAAGTCTCTGACTTCCTATTATTCTCAATGGAAGGTTGTTTTGAAGCAAGCTCATCTTTCCTTGTTCAAGCAGGAACAAACATAATTGTAAAGTGTATTAAAAAACAAACTTCTAATTGTAATCAACTCTTAGCTCGCCTCTGTTATATACCATTCTCAAATATGTAAATATTTGCTACTAAGTTAATCATAAAAACAAACTTGAAATAAGGCCTCTGTAGTCACTTTTGAATATGCTTGTACTAGTTGTGTTTTGACATTAATTATTGATTTATATCTCTTCCTTGGGCCTTATAAACTTTAACTTCATTGTCCAGCCACTGAAGATCTTATAAGTTATTTTTACTATAGTACCCAGGAGTAACAATAATTAATTGCAAGTCAGGACTCAAAAGCATATAAAATATATGCTCAGCTCTGTAACTGTGGGGTTATATAGTCCCAATTTACCTTTAATAATTATGTGTATAGTTTTTGTTATTTGAAGATGTCTAATATATCTGATAAATAATATATATCTGATAAATAGTGCAAGTATTAGATAATATTTAGTGCTTTTGAAAGTAAATGTTCTTGCTTCTTCTTAAGAGTTACATAGTTTGGGGGCTGGAGAGATAACACAGCAGGTAGGGCGTTTGCCTTGCACGCAGCCAACCCGGGTTTGATTCCCAGCATCCCATATGGTCCCTTGAGCACCGCCAGTAGTAACTCCTGAGTGCAGAGCCAGGAATAACTCCTGTGCGTTGCCAGGTGTGGCCCAGAGTTACATAGTTTAATTGAAGACTGAGTATTGCAACATTAAGTTGTAGGGTTTTGTTTTGATTTTTTTTTTTTTGGCTGTTTGAGTCACACCTGGCGATGCACAGGGGGGTTACTCCTGGCTCTGCACTCAGGAATTACTCCTGGCAGGGTTCAGGACCATATGGGATACTGGGAATCGAACCTGGTTTGACAGCGTGCAAGGCAAATGCCCTACCCGCTATGCTATTGGTCCAGCCCCAAGTTGTATTTTTTTTAACTTCTTATCATTTCTGGGCCAGAGAGATGGTACAGGTGTTACAGCACTTGCCTTGCATACAGCTGACCCTTTCAATCCCTGGCACCACATATGGTTCCCTGAGCACTATCCGGAGTGACCCCCAAATCCAGAGCCAGGAGTAAGCCCTAAGCACTGCCAGGTTATTCCCAAAACCAAAAATTACAACCAAGCAATAAAAATCCCTTTATATCATCTCAGTTATTTAGTGGCTAGATAAAGTAGAATTCTTTTCAAGAGGTTAAATAAAAGGTAGGCGTTATTTTCATGCCAAAGATACACGTATCTCAGTTATAAGTACACTTGCAAATATTTTTATTCATGAGTACAACTCATTGTTTTTGTTGGTTGGAGTTGTAAATAGTAAGTGTTATAAATTTTAACCCCTACCACTTATATTGATCAAATTTTAGTAGATTTTAGTTTTAGAAATATTCAGTTTCATGTGAGATTCTATTAAGAAAAAAAATCACTAAAAAAAAAAAGCTCTGTTAATAATAACAGATGAACAGCTTTGTTCAGGAAATAAGGCTTACCTAAGTTGTACAAATTGAATTCACCTGTCAAATGGAGATCTTGCTGCCTATCAAAACTGGTTTCTTAAAGATTGCTTGTGGGCTGGGGCTGAAGGCGGAGCCATCAGTCCATAATTACAGCACACTGTCATTCGTTAATCTGACAGCTTGCTGAACTGCTACCTCGAATTTTCAGGTGAGACAAAATTTGAATTTCCAAACTTGAATTTCCTAAAAAATGTTTTTTACTTTTGTTTTACGTGGCTGTGTGAAGTAAAATTAAAAAAGTGCTCTCTAAATGTATATGTTAACTCTTTCTCAGTTGTGTTCTATTATTTATAGTTTTTACTGAGTACAGTCCTTGTCTGCTTGAATTCTCATTAATTTTGTGCTCAGTTGAACTTGAGCTATGTCATTTACTTCTTAAGTAATTGTGAATTTATTTAACATAATAACTTTGGAATTGATTCTGGTGAAAGGAAATTTAGCCAGTGTCTTCTCTGTATGTCTCTCTCTCTCAATACTGTATCTAACAGCTAAGACTAGACTGCAGAAGTGGGTCCAGGGGAAACTCGGGTATTTGTCCAGCACTATTGGAATGGAAAAATACAAGGGCAAGATAAACTAGAATGTAAAGCCAGCCTCTTCAGATCGCATACATCTTTCACCTTTCACTGAAGATTTCCGTGGAGAGGCACAATTCTGAGCTTTAAACCATTATTCTGCAAGGCTAATAATGTAAATCCACTATAATCTTGGGTACCTTGATTATGGAGTTTGAACACATAGAGGGTAGTTGAAGAGGCGGACAGAAAGAAAGAACACTGGCAATCTGAGACAAGGTCCAGTCGATACCGTAGTGAAGGCAGAGGTAAAGATAAAGGAACCATAGAAGACACTTGTGACTGCGTTTTTGCACTTATCTTGGTTATTTAGGAGATTATTCCTCATCGTATCTTTATATTCTGTTTGTTTCCATCTACCCATTTTATAATTGAATAATGTAATGCCTTAATAAGACATAAAATATGCGTATAGAATTTGGAATAAGGAGCTCATTTGGTAAGAATGAAAAACTAGATCATTCAAGAGTTACTTTCCCTCTGAGTACAAGGATAGGCCATAACCTTTGCGATTTTTTCCTAGTCTTCGCCAGGCAAAAGTTCAGACACTGGTCTTCACTGGTAAAAGCACAGAACTCTAAGAGATTCCTGTAGCTGGAAAGTGGACGTTATCCATGGTCATTGTCACTTCCAATTGGCGAGGCACATTGTGGGAAAGCCCGATCTATTTTGATTTATATACCACCAGCAGTCTTATTTCACCAAAGAAATAGCATCCTGTTTCTCCCTACTCTTGTGGTTAATTCTTTTCAACCATCTAATCTGGAATTGCTGAATATTTTTTTTTTTAGTTTGTTTCTTGCACCACACCACCACGCCTGGCAATACTTAGAGCTTCCTCCCAGCTTTGCACTCAAGGATGACTCCTAGCAGGGAACCATCTGGGTGCCAGGGATTGAACCCAGGTCTGCCACATACAAGGCAAGCGCCCTACACTATACTGTCGCTCTGACCCAAGGAATCGCTAAATATCCTTATGACTCCCATATCTCCCTGTGGCATCTCCCTCTAGATATATAGAAATTTATACTTTCCATTCGCAGCTGTTACCTTTGACGCAACATTTTTCATTCTAGTGAGTCTTCATCTTTTTCCCCTATTTAGAAATGGACTCAGAAAACAAGGAAGAAATTCCTATACATGAGGAATTCATTTTATGTTGTGGAGTTGAAACCCAGGTTATAAAATGTGGACCCTGGACTGATCTCATAAATGATCAGAGTGGAAACAGGCCTAAGCTGCTTATCTTCATTATTACTGGTAAGTTGAAAATCTGGAAGAGACTTTGTACAGATCATTATAGCTATTTCTAATTTTTAAAATACTATTATGAGAATTATAGATAATATGAAAAATTATAGGAAATTTTATGAAGGGAGATAAAATCATCCTAAATACCCTTAATGCTTTGGTGATGAGACTTTCTGCTTTTGCTTTTGTGCATTTATACTATGTATGGCACATTGTTGAGTAGATAATATGTATATCTTAAGTCATATTGAGAATATATAATACAAGTTTTTTTGCGATGTGGAAGGTTGATTTGGGGCCATATGGAGCGTGCTCAGGGCTTACCCCTGGCTCTGCACTCAGGAATCATTCCTGGTTGTACTCAGGACTATATGGGGTGCCGGGAATCGAACCAGGGTCGGTCGGATGCAAGTCAGGCTCCCCATCCACTGTACTATCTGTCCAGCCCAACAAATAGAGTTTTTATTATTTTTCAGTTTTTCTTAACAATAGTACAGTAAATGAGGTTGTATCAAATATTTCTGATACCTTTTGAAATAACTTTCTGCCCCACTTAAAAATTATTCTAAGTTTCTTGGAGGGGGAATTTGGCTGGGTCCCTTGTGACTTTTGATGGAACATTGTCAGTAGAATTCTACCGATTACTTAATTGGAGAGCCCGGCAAGCTACCGAGAGTATCTCACCCGCACGGCAAGCTACCCTGGCAAGCTCCCCGTGACATATTCGATATGCCAAACACAGTAACAACAAGTCTCATGATGGAGACGTTACTGGGCCCGCTTGAGCAAATCGATGAACAACGGGAGGACCGTGACCGTGACTTAATTGTTGGTATTTGAAACAGTCTTTAAGTTGAGAGTTGAATGTAGCACTGCACTGTAGCACTGTCCTCCCCTTGCTCATCAATTTGCTCGAGCAGGCACCAGTAACATCTCCATTGTGAGAGACTTGTTGTTACTGTGTTTGGCATATCGAATATGTCACGGGGAGCTTGCCAGGCTTTGCCGTGCGGGCGAGACACTCTCGGTAGCTTGCCAGGCTCTCTGAGAGGGGCAGAGGAATCGAACTCAGGTCAGCCAGATGCAAGGCAAATGCCCTACCCGCTGTGCTATCGCTCCAGCCCGAGAGTTGAATATATAGATAAATAGATCGGTCTTCAAGATTACACATGAAACTAAGCATGTGTAATATATGTAAACTTATTTTATATATATATATATTATAATATAGCCAAGCTTACAGGGTATTATGATTGTATTTCTTTTTGCAGGGTATTATTGTTTCATGTACTTGTTTAGTTTTCCCTGGGCTGGCGGTTCTCTTTTATTCGCTTAGTTTTCTATGTCTTAATCATTAATATATTCCATACAAGGGGGTGGGGGGGTGGCGGAGAAAGTCCTCTTGGGGCTTTTTTCTTTTTAATTTTTATTAGTGAAACACCATGAGGTACAGTTGTAGACTTACAAATGTTTGTGCTTGGGTTTCAGTTATACACTGATCGAACACCCATCCCTCCACTATGCCTCCCTCCTCTACCACCACTGATCCCATTATCCCTCCCACCCCCCAAACCCCCCATCCCACTCTGCCTCTGTGGCAGGGCATTCCCTTTTGTTCTCTCTCTTCTTTTGGGTGTTGTGGTTTGCAAAAGAGGCATTGAGTGGCATTCGTGTTTGGTCTATAGTCTACTCTCAGCACGCATCTCCCATCCTGGGAGGATCCTCCCAACAACCTTTATTTGATGCTCCCTTCTCTGTCTGAGCTGCCTTTTCCCATAGCATGTGCGGCTGGCCTCCAAGCCATGGAGTAAACCTCCTGGTATTTATCTCGGTTAATTTTGGATGTTAGTCTCCTATTTTGTTACTTTATGTTCCCCAGATGAATGCAATCTTTTTGCGTATTCAATCAGTTTCCTTTTTTCTTGGAGATGTTCCAGGCTAGAGTGATGGCTGCATTTCCAACCTGGGAGTTCATTCGCTTGCTTCAGAACCAGATTCCCCATTGTTTGGGACCTGTGTTTTTTTTCTCTCTCTCTCTCTTGTTTTATTGTCTTTTTTTTCCATGGAGCGCATCTTCTAGTCATTTTCTGAAAAGCAGCAAATGGATAGAAATCTTTGACAAATCTGGCATATCAAAAACATGTTTAAGTTGGAGATGATTTTACTTTAGAATCTGGAGTATTTGAATTATTTTCCAAGTTCAGTGCTACTGGGGAATGCCCCCAGGCAGTGCTCAGGTTGCCCTGGGGTCACAACCAGCAGCACCAGCCTGCTTGGGCCTAATGGTTGGGGGCCCCTGTGGTGGTACTGGCTTTGAATTTGGGTCCCAGTACTTGTGCCCTGGTGGCTAAACTATCTCCTTGCACCGTCCACGCTATATTTTGAGAAATCTTCGTATTATTTCCATTTTTAATCTTTAGTGTGTGGAAGTCCACCGTAACATAGCTACTGATGTGTTTTTTCCTACATTGTCTTTGGGTTTTAATGCACCTTTTTCAACAGAAAGCTTGGATACTTTTATTACAAGACTTTGGCTTTCTTCTTCTTGTTTTGCAGTTTCCTATTTAACTATCATTTTTTTTTAACTTCTAGAATAAGTTTTACTTTTATTAATTATGTTCCTCTTTTTCTGATGGCTTTCATTAGTTTGTTTTCCATCAAATGTTTGGTAACCCTGACTATCTATTGAGTTGAGGTGATATTTTGGGGGGTGAGGGGAACTGGCAACTGTGCTTAGAGTTAGTTCCTCATGATTATCAGCCAACCGGACCTGCTGCTCAATGCAACAGCCTAAGGACGTGATGCTGCTTGAGAGCATGCATGTCCAGGATTGCCCAGGCATTCAGGAAGGCTTGGTGGCCTCCACGGCTACATCCTGCAATGCTCAGGGTCCCAGGTGATACTGAGAATGGAACAGGGACAGGAGTTGGGCTGCAGTCAAGGCATGTGCCTTAACCTTTGTACTATCTTTCTGTCCTCTATCTATTCATATTTGATTGGTGGGGGTCAGGGATTGTTGTGGGGTTTCTTTGGGCGGGAGGCGGGGAGCGGTGGTTTTTGGGCCACATCCAGCAGTGCTCAGGGCTTACCCCTGACTCTGCTCTTGAGAACCCTTTTAGCAGAGCTTGGGAATCATATGTGGTGCCAGGCATTGAATCCAGGTCGGTTGTGTACGAGGCAAGCACCCTACCCACTGTACTGTCTCTCTGGCCCCACCTATCTATTCATTTTTAAGAGAAAGATACTGATAAATGATGGGAAGTGTTGTAATCGTTAGTAGGCTTGTCCTCAGGTATACCTGCACTGGCCTGCCTCTCTGCTGTAAGGGGCTAACCAGGACTTTATGATGTTGGCTGTCTAAGCCACAACAGGCTGGGCAGATAAATGGTCACAGTACATGAAACTCAGTTTAGAGGGATTCAACAGGGCTACAACCTTCCATCTGGGAATTTCCAGCTTCCATTATCTATAGCTGTTCTGTAGATTGTTCCACAGCATTCCCACGGTAGAATTTTTCACTCTTCTGTGTGAGGAATGGAAAGAAAGCTTTCTTGTAATATTTAGAGCTGACCTAGGGAGTCTGCAGTTTAGTAACCTTTAATCTAACTTTTTAGTATTGGCCTTCTATTCTTTGCTAAATTAAGATTCTTGATCCAAAAAATCTCTTTTGGATTTTTGTTTAGCCTCTTCTGAAAATAAATATCCTATCTTGAAGCAGTCAGCAGACATCTATCAAGATAAAATGGAACATTCTCTGCCAGTTGTAAGGGAGAGCTTGAAATTATATGCATGGCAAGTGGTGTTTGTTGGTGCAGATAAGTGGAGGCCATGGCAGAGTGAAAAAAATCTGTTTAAATGTTACCTTGGACTGGAGGATGACTATTCTTCTAAGACTATAAGGAAAAAAAGGTTACTGAAATGAAGACTTGAGAAGGCCTGTCAGTGTCAAGTTGTTTGTGAATTCTGTATTTTCTGTTAATTAGGATTTTAGGTAAATTTTAGGTCAAGAATAAGAAAGACAGAGGGTAGAGAGGGGACTTGAGAGAAGTGATCAGGATTTAATTTGCAAGATTAAAGGAATGTATAGTAGAGACTTTAGTAGTGGCTAAGGACAAGTAACTAGATTTTTGTTGCAGGGTTATGTTCACATAGCAGGTGTGCTAGAATGGTGTCCAAAGGGCAGAGGATTGATCAAGGAGAAGCTGTGTGTGAGTTAGAGATTTGTGTTGGTAACCGGTTCTGGATAATGAAAACATTAGGTCTGTAGTTCTGGTAATAGGACCAGCTGCAATACCTCTGAGTAATAGTTAGAAATGCAAATTCATGGTCCCTGTCTCAGACCATATGATTCAAGAACTCTGCAGGAGGAGTGATCTGTGTTTTAACAAACCTGGCAGAGGACTGGTCAGGCTACACCTATTAATTGCCTAAATTTATTAAAATGAAAGTTCTTTGAACTTAATGTAGATATTGAATTAAGGGACAAAGGTGTTGGCTCTGAATCCACCAAATTTTGGAGACATTTAAGATACTAAATGGCATGTGGAAATACCACTTTGAGGTCTAGACTTCTGGGACTGAACTTTAAGTTGATGAGTTGATGGAAGTAGATGAGTTGAGTTTTGGAGGAGGAGAACTATTGTGGTAAGACACTAGTCAGTTCATTTCACTTCCCTGTGCGAGGTGTCCTTCACTGCCTTGTTTGTAGTAGGTGCTAGGACAGAACAGTATGTTGAAAAAGTATTTGCTCTTGTTAAGATGCATTGAGTACTGGAAAAACTGTCCACTGAAGAGGCAGGAAAGCAAGAACATCATGGACAAAGCCAGACTTAATCTGTGGTGAGGAGAGAGTAGATTTTAGTGAAGACACTGTGGGAAAAGGGAAGCTTAAAACTTTTATCCTTTTGTAGACTCATTCTTTTATAGTGCCTTGACATTTTCAGGTCACCATAGTTTCCTAGTGTTCTTTTATATTTGGCCACTATTTTTATTGCTTCTCTTGATCCTTT